GGGTTTTAAAATTTTTAAGGGGGGGGGGTTTTTATTTTGGGTTTTTTTGAAGAAAGATTTTTTAAAGAAAGATTTTTTTTGTTTAAAAAAAGAAGAAGGGGGGGGGGGAATTTGTGGGGGAAAAAGGGGGATTTTTGGAGAGAGTTTTTTAAGGGAAAAGGAGAGGGGGGGTGTTTTTGGTGTTGGAAAAAAAAGTAATAAGGGGTGGGTGTTTTTTTTGGGGTAAAAAAGATTTTTTTTTGGTTAGGGGGGGGTGGAATTGGGGGGTTTGTTTGTTAGAATAGAAAATTTTTTTTTTTTTTTTTTTAGGGGGGAAGGGAAGAAGAGGGGGGGGGGGGGGGGGGGGGGGGGGGGGGCAGTATCCGGCGTCCCGTTCCAGATGTTTCTGTTCCTGCTATGTTGCAGGTATTGATGTACCAACGCAGCCCAATGCGTGTATGTGATGAGCACGTGCTCGTGTTGGGTTCGGCGAACGGTCAATGGAGCTTAGTCGTGGTTGGTTGTCAGGGCACCACCCCTAGAGTGACAGGGGGTTGTCTCCATGTACCTCACGGTCATACAAGATAGAAGGAAGGCCCTTTGGGCTGCATCCGGCATTGAAGCTTCCTTGCGGTCCTGTCCTGCCCTCTGTTTTGCTATATTATTTGCGTGTTGCCCCTGTTGCTGCTGGCTGTTGTCGTGTGGGGGACAGGAGTCTGTTCCTGCATGCAGCAGGTTTATTTGTTGTGTCGTTGTAACCCTTGTCTTTATAATATGCGTTTGTGTTCTTTAGGTACTGCTACGAAAATAATGGGAGGGGGGGGGTTGCCACGCTTATCATTGCACTAGTTATTTTTCTCTTGTATTCAGGATTACCATCGAGTGTCATTCTTGCATTCCTAACGTTGTTTATTCAGTAGTTGCGATCCAGACGAAATAGTACCGGATGGCTTGCATTTTATGTTTTGGGATTCCTAACGTTGTTTATTCAGTAGTTGCGATCCAGACGAAATAGTACCGGATGACTTGCATTTTATGTTTTGGGGGGTACTGTAGCAGGGGGGGGGGGCTTTTGATATTGTTTTGAGATAATGCAGAAGGGGGATGTTCGAACTTATATTTTGGGAGGTGATACAGCGGGGGGGCCGTAAAGCTTAAGCTTTCATGTTTTTGGGAAATAGTGCCGCAGGGAGCTAGATGTTAAGAATCGATGTTGTCTCGATGTTAGAGGAACGGTAAAATAATTGGTGAGAGGTTTGCCGTACTTTTCAAAATGACTGATGATGTATTGGAGGAAGGAATTGGCATATTTTGGTGAGACATGGTTGAGGCCCATGTGCTACCGATGCTTATGAGAGATTGGTCAATGGGCTGAACCATGGTTTTTGTGCGACGATCTTGTCCAAAGTAGTATAGATGCCGCGTTTTCCCGGAGTTATCCGTCCAAAAGTTTTTATGACGTGACTCTCATGTATGTATGTTGATCTTTGCGGAGTAATTTTGAAAGGATGATTTCTTTGTTTTGGCTGCTTCAGATTTTGCTGATGGCATTTCCTCGAGAGGGGTGATGGATTGTTGAGACTCTTAGCGAAGTTCCATATTGGATTAAGGTCGAGTATAAACCTTTAATTTGAATATTCGAGATATCCTCCGGGAGTTGGGATGATTTGCAGATATGATGAAGAAGAATGGTGCTTGGATTTGTTGCCGTTTTTACCTGGCGATATGTACGGGAGGTTTCGTAGATCCTATCTCGTACCGAGTAGGGGGGCTGTTTGTGTGTGTACTCGGCAAGATGCACATCTCCGACATCTCCGAGGGGGTTACGCAGATGTGATGGATATGGACTTGCTGTTTATTGCAGCAGGGCCTTCTTGCCTGCTGCTCGTTCGTGTCTTGTCTCTCCCTAGTAATATATGGAACTTGAGTAACTCCTTGGTGCACAAACGTTCTCGACAAGAGCCGGTGAGTGTGATGACACAGCACACGCGCCGAGACCACCAATATCGTGTCCCAGACGTTTGTATTATCTTGTAATTACTTAGAATTAGCGTTTTTTTTCAGGTGCTATGGTGTACCAAATGCCGCACGCGGTCCTGTTATCAGCACTACAGCAGTACCTGCAGTTTTTTTCATCGTTTTTTGTGAAGCAATGGGCACATTACTTTTTTTGCCCACCAACCCAAGGCGGGGTCTCTAACCCAGTGCTACTAGTTCAAACGTTCAAACAGTCCATGATGATATCCATGAGGCGAGGCGCAGCCAGCCATCAATGACGAAAATGCCCTGACCCTTTTATACCGCCACACGCTGGAAACAAAAGTTTTTACTGCCACCTCTAGGGCGGTATTCGTGCAGACGATCTATCACTCCTGACAGCACTTGCCCTCAATTAAATGCAACACACACAGCGGAACAAACATTACAACAAATACTTTGTACTCCAACGCTTGATGTGCGCCAACCAAACATATACTTATTATTAGACAACACATCCCCGCCAGCTTTGGTTGACCCTTGTTGCAGCCGCATCACCAGTAAACACGGCCCGGGCTCTTCTCCGTCATGTGCACGGGCCGTGTCGCGAACTTGAAGTGTTTCGCCCAACATGACCTTCTCTGTCAGGTGTGTTGGCCCACATATCTTCTCGCCCCCTTTATAAAAGCTTTGCGATGTACCGGATCAAGGGAGAGTGGGCGGGCCGGGCGGAAGGGAAGCAACAAGTGTTCAATTCCTATGCATACTATGCACGACGACCACTGCTCACTAGCACGAAATCAAGAGGAGAAAAAGCGAGGACATGCCGATGTATTTAAGCCAGGCTGCATGTCTGGACAAGAACACCGTCACTTTCGTATGGTTCCTCGAGGTCTGCTTAGACGTAAACACATATATATGTAGACATTCATTTCATGCAAACCTCAACTAAAAGTCTCGGCGCCCTCGCCTGCCCTTCCCTTGCTGCATTTTAAACGATGGAATAGTGTTCCTGGGCGAGCGGCAACTAGTACAAGAACATTGCCGCGTAGAGGGTGATAGACTCATCCTCTGGACAACACACGACGGACTATGCATCCACCTCCTTCATCTCACGAAATACAGCATGTAAAAAAAAATGGATGCCCGTGAAACTGCTGTCCAGGGCCACATAATACGCCAGGAAACAACCGCACCTACCTCATCATCACCCTCCCCCCCCCATCACCCAGCTGTGATTCTTGCTTTCCATGGGCATCCACGTCGTCATCAGTCCCTCGCACGCCGTCATTTTCAAGGTACCCCCTAATAAACGAAGAGCAGGAGCAGCAGCAGCAGCAGCAGCAGTAAGTAGTAGCATGAGCAGCAGCGGCGGCGGAGTCAACAAAAATAACACCACCAGCTTCATCACAGCGCTGGACCCACTGTACTACACAATGCACCGCAGAAAGACCTTCGTGCTTAAAGGTCATCTAGTCCCCAAGGAGAACATCAAGGGGGGCACCACCATCTACAGCGTACTTAACGACCGTTCACTTTGGCCCTACGCTTTGCCCATCCCAGCGTGGATATGGCTGCACTTCGTGACTTGCCTCTCCGAGGTAACGATCAATGCAGGGATACTAAAGGCTCTCTGGTTCGCAGCGTCCAATTGTGGGTACAATTTAGCAGGTGCCTCAGCTTGGCCGGAGCTTGATGGCGACGTCGGTGTGGGTAGTTGCTCTCCCCCTGTTCTCAGGAGGTCAACGGAAGAGCAGTAACAGAAGGCATGCATCGAGATAAAGAGGAAGAAGACATATATATGAGAAACGAAAACAGAACGGACGGTCAGCGCACACGCACGAGCCACCACAACATCACAATTCGTTTCCCAAGCACCCAATCCACGTTCATTTATCTTAATGCAGAACCCTGGGTACCTACCCTACTACACATGCCGGCTACTGCTACTCCTTGCTACTTACAACAGAGATTTACATATACACAATCATCTCTTCTGTGGTGCTGTTTGCTCTCTCTCTCTCCACTCACCGGCACAGTATGAACCAAAGGTGTGCTCCCAGGTTGCTCCAAAGATCCACACCGCTCACGGCTACTGGATACACCCCGCCCGCTGCTCTCTCGGGTGCCCAGCACAGCTCGGGTGCTTGACCAAAAAATATATACAGTCCTCCTCCGCGTGGTTGGTTTCTGCTTGATGAGGTGACGTGGTGAGCTGCTGTCGAAGGAGTCGATTCAGACTGGGGCCGGA